GCCATCTCTCCAACCCTGAACTCCCTTATCAGTTCACTAAATTTGCTTTACTTTGATTTGCCAAAAGCTCTATCTACACATTTCTAGGGTGTATTTATCACTTAGTTAAATATTTATAGTAGCGTTAATAAATATGTTTTTCATTCTTTCACTCATTTAAGGATTGTTTATTTTGCATTTGCACCCAAGGATTTACTCTGAATACCCCATCAGACCCAGTCTAGTCCCTGAAGACAAAAGTCTGGAACAAAACAGAAAAAGTTCTTACATCCTGGTGAGAAAGAGGGGCAGTGAAAAGGTTCTTTAAAACTCCCAGGTTTATAATGGTTAACAATCAAAGAGTTCTGTCTCAGCTACCAAAATTAAACTGTGTCCGAGATGGAGAAAGAATGTTCCACACCAACACCTCCTAAATCTCAAATTATCCACAAGCAAAATAAACAATCCTTGGTAGAATGGATGTAAAGTCTCCCCAGTTAAAAAAAAAAGCAGAGAATTGTGGGAGCCTGCTATAGATAACCTAAAGATTATTTTTCTCTTATTCAACATTTTTTTCTATACTTCTATTGTGATTCGATAAAATCGTTTGTCCTAACAAGACTGCATATGATTCTACCCTGTGAACATGGTACAACTCTAGACTTTCAGCAAATGGCAGCCTTGGAAAACTGTGAGTATAAGTTTGTGCAAACATATTCCTAAAAATACCATGATCATGACAAGATAAATAGCATTTTCTGAGCATGCTTGTCCTCTCTTCCAACTCTATGACCTGCCTGAGTCTTTGTGTCCTAAGAAACTGGAATCCGTTATTTCCTGCACAAAGTACCCTTCAGCACTCTGGTAACAAGGGCCCCAATTAACAAACAGCATCAGTAAAACGTGTTATTTATTACAGAACATATATTAGATTTATACAATAACAGGTATACATTAAAAAGCTGTTTATAAAATATAAGTTAATAACAGATATAGCTAAACAAATGCTTCTCACACACAAAATATGCATATATTGATACTAAAAAAATTTTACACTATACTGCTTGCCAAAATAATTAAGCCCTTCTCTGTAGAGTCAATGGTCCCATAGGGTCTGGACTATATTAATGTTCACACGGTTCTTGGTGACCAATTCTGGTCTTGATATAATACCCAAAGGCAATACAGTTCATTAATAGTGAATTACTCTACACCAGAGAATAAAAATTATGTTCCAAAGGCAAGCCACAAGGGACAAATGACTGGATTGGCTACAAATTAGGGACTGTGAAAAGGGTATCAAAATGCTAATGATATGGCTGAAGACAGCATTGGTGCAAACAAGGTCTAGACATCAAGTGTAGCAAATGTTTTTGTGACACTTGTGAAGCTATTACTTCCCTCTCTGTGTCTGGATTTAGGGTCTGTTCAGTAAACAGAATAATTCTGAGAAGAAAATAGGATGGAGAAATATCTGAGAAACACAGACATCACTATGAGGAACCATTAAGGAACACAATGGTATGTACTGTCCCTCATCAGGAAACCCCTTGCATGCACTGTCCTAAAGAAATTTATGGCCTAAAGTTCCATCCACCTGCCCTTGAACATCAAAAAACTTAAACATTAAAAAATGTGGGGTGGGTGACATGCCTCTGCACTTGCAGAGGACCCATTCCATTTGCAGAACCCAGATGGCCACTCACAATGGCCTGTAACTCCAATTCCATGAGATGCAACACCCTCTGCTGGCCTCTGAGAGCTCCTGCACCCATATGGTACACATAAATTCACATGGGCACTCACACATACACATAAAATAAAAATATAAATCTTGAGCCAGGTGTGGCAGTAGATGGCAGGTGGATCTCTGTAACATTGAGGCCAGCCTGGTCTACATAGTGACTTCCAGGCCGGCTGTGGCTACAGAAAGACCCTGTTTCAAAAAGACCATATTTATAATGTGTGTGTGTGCATGCACGCACACTTTTGAACATAAGAAAATGAAACTTGAACATCAAAGCACGGTCCTTGTCAGATAGTCAAAAATATATAAAATAAAAATAATCTGATACCACAAAATTCATTTGATACAACCTTATTAAAAACTCAACATTGAGTCACCAAACATGGTGGTAGGTGACTCATCCCTAAAATCCCAGCACTCAGGAGACTGAGTCAGGAAAATCCCCTTGAGTCTAAGGCCAGTACATGCTCCAGAATGAGACTGTCTCCAAAACAAACAAACAAAATTCCACTTTACTATTGAGTTGGAGATGTAGCTCATTGGTAGAGGCTTTGCCTAGCATGCTTAGATCTTTGGGTTTGATCCTCAGCACCAAACAAGGAAATGAAATTTAAAACCTCAAAATTTCCTTCTAACTGGCAAAACATCCTTTACTGCCCATTGAAGGCACTAGTGTTTATATATGACTAAGATAAAAATCACCATAGTTTTATTTCAATGAAAGCATTTCACAAAAGTATTACTCAAAAAATGAAGCCATCTTTTCTCCAGGGAAACTGAGAGGAGCCAAAGATGCTACTCCAATGTTATCACTTTCTTAGAGCCAGACCAAGAGAGGAGGCTGTTCTTCCTGGGTTATGCAAATCCAAAATTTTGAAACGTTTTTGTGGTGGTGTTGTAAAAGTCTGGGGCCTTAACCAGGGGAATTAGTAAATTCTGATCACTTAGAGGGAAATGAAGAGTCACAGTGACCTCAACCACACACTCGCTCTCCCTTGCTCACTCTGGATCCTGTCCCTGTCGTGTGTGTTGTAATTCCCTGGCTGGGTTGGTGTAATTCCCATGCACATCAGGGTGAAAGAGGGCCATGCGCATCTGAGAATTCAGAGGCAAGGTGACAACAGGAGCCTTGCAGTGAACAAGGAGTACATGCCCACGGGCACCCTGTGGCCTCTCTGGCCTACTCCAGGCCTTTCTACAGGAAATGTCTTCATCACGGCAAGCAAGGTTCATCTGTGCTAAGATTTGTTCCCGAGAAGCCTCCTGCCTCTTTCCTGCCCTGTGGTGGTTCCCGCCCAGCTGCTGGAAAGACGTGGCTGGTCATTCAGATTGTCTTTTTCCCCTTGATAGAAGAAAGTTTCTCATTTGAATTCAAGGCACTTTGGAAGCAGTATTTGCTCCCTACCTGTGTACCTTCCCTGCAGAGCTGGCACAGGGCACTTCAGGTGGAGATTAGCTCCAGGACCACATTCTTGCAGCCCAGTGAGTCCAATTGGATGACTTTTCCTCCAGGCTTTGCAAAAAAGAGCCTTCACTTTTTAAGTCCAAGATCTGCCTCTCTTCCATGGCGCATACTGGAGGCCACACAGAGGAGACACAGGTGTGGGCACAGCCTGCAGGTTGCTTGTCAGCGCCAACTTCTATCAGGCTGTCCAACTTTGCTTGCGTTCTGTGCGTAGAGGTCGTCAGAGCTGTCTGTTGAAGAGGCAGCTGAGAGGGACATCCTTGTCCCAGGGGCTTCACAACATGGAAGCTCATGAGAGTCTGGGCATTTCGGAGCTCAGATGGGTATAGAACTGGGGAAATGGGCAGCAGGCTCCAACTTTAGCCAAGGAACTATTCGCAACTGGTCACTGCTGGGTGAAGGAGGGCTGATCTTTTTTAAGGGGGTGACTTTAGATAGGCTGATAGACTCTAGTGGATGCACTTTCATTGAGAGACTTCTGAGTCCAAGTGCTTGATGCAATAGGCCTTAACATATATTACAGAATGCATGAAATTCCATGGAGAGGATGAGGGTGGGGAAGGGAGTCCAAATTTGATTAAGATGTATTATAAAAAATGCACAAAAGCTCAATAAAAATATACCTAAAAATTTAAAATAATAAAATTCATATATAGAGATATTAAAGTCTATAGCAAGATTTCAATAAGTAAATTTTAAAATTAAAAAAGCATTATATAAATCCAGGCTGAAAATAATCCATGCTGTTTGGATACATTTATAGGAAATTTTAGAAAAGACAAGCACAGCAGAAAACAGAGACGAGGTTGCCAGCTTGGGAAGGAACGCACTAACTCAAAGGAGGCAACATGGACCTTCCACAGTAGTGCAAACATGACTTAATCACTGGACAGTGAACAAATGGATGCGGAGGGCAAAGGAGGTGCACTTCCCTGTCTTCTGTCCCTTTCCTGTGCATCCTCTGTCTTCTCACCTTCCCATGTGATCCAAAGCATTTGCTCTTTTGTGGGTTGAATTGACGGGCTTCCTTGTTCTCTGCTTTCTCTGCTTTCTAACTAAAATTCACACAATCAGAAAGTAGGTGAACTCTTTCCACCAGCCCAGCTC